AGGCTCTGGTGGCTCACACCTGTAACCCTAGCTACTTAAGAGGCTGAGATCTGAGGATCACAATTCAAAGCTAGCCCAGGCAGGAAAGTCCGTGAGACACTTATCTCCAATTAACCACTAGAAAACCAAAAGTGGCGCTGTGGCTCACAGTGGTAGAGCACTGGCCTTGAGCAAAAGAGCTCAGTGCTCAGGCCTGGAGTTCAAGCCTCATGACTGACAAAAAATAAACCCACAAAACATCTGTTATTCATGATGTATATATGATGGAGCACGGGCTCCATGAGGACAGGAAGTCAGCTCCACTGCTCAAGATTGTGTCTCTAGGGCCTGGCCCATAGGAGAAACCCAGTGGACATGTTGGCGGAACTGGCTGCCAGGGAGCGGTCTGGGAGGAGGCAGTCAGGCAGGGAGGCAGATCTCGCTGGGGAACTGGGAAAACCTGCAGAAGGATTTGCACTGGAACCAGAAGACTGACATGGATGAATGAGGACTCGAAAGAGGGGAGGGTGGGGATCTGAGCGGCTGTGGTGCCAGGTCTAGGTGTGAGCTGTTTTGAGTGTGGGAGACAAACTTGAAAAGGTAGACTGGGAAGTGGCGCTGTAGCTCAAGTGGTAGAGCGCTCCCCTTGAGTTGAAGAGCTGAGGGACAACGCCCAGGCCCAGAGGTCAAGCCCCACGACCGACAAAAAAAAAAGAAAAGGTAGACTGCAGCCAGGTGAGGAAAGGTCTTCTTACGGACTGGATGGCATGTCCTCATTCTCCGGAAAATTTGCATGTGACGTTATAACCTTAGTAGACCTCAGAATTCGACTCCATTTCCAGACAGCATTTAAGGGAAGAAGTTACGGTTCAATGAGGTCTTATGGCCAGGACCTAACCCAATATGGCTGCTGCCTATTAAAAGGAGGAAGAAGCCGGGCGCTGGTGGCTCACGCCTGTAATCCTAGCTACTCAGGAGGCTGAGATCTGAGGATCACGGTTCAAAGCCAGCCCAGGCAGGAGAGACCGTGAGACTCCTATCTCCAATAAACCACCAGAAAACCGGAAGTGGTGCTGTAGCTCAAGTGGTAGAGCGCTCGCCTTGAGCTGAAGAGCTGAGGGACAGCGCCCAGGCCCAGAGTTCAAGCCCCACGATTGACAAAATAAATAAATAAATAAATAAATAAAATAAAAGGAGGAAGAACTGGGATGTGTATGCACAGGAAAAAAAAAAAAAGACGCTAGAAGAGCCAGGAGGGGCAGCCATCTACAAGACAAAGAGAGACCTCGGGGAAGCCCATCCTACCAGCACCTTGATCTTGGACTTCTAGTTTCCAGAACTGTGATAAAAACATCACTTGTGCCGGGCGCTGGTGGCTCACGCCTGTAATCCTAGCTACTTGGGAGGCTGAGATCTGAGGATCGCGGTTCAAAGCCAGCCCGGGCAGGAGAGACCGTGAGACTCCGATCTCCAATAAACCACCAGAAAACCGGAAGTGGTGCTGTAGCTCAAGTGGTAGAGCGCTCACCTTGAGCTGAAGAGCTGAGGGACAGCGCCCAGGCCCAGAGTTCAAGCCCCACAGCCGACCAAAAAAAAAAAAAAAAAATCACTTGTATGGTCTATGCAACCCTTTTTTGCTGTATTTTGTTATGGAGGCCCTAGTAAATGATGCAGGTCTTAAGTTCTTCATGTTTTGTCTTAAAAATAAAAAATCAAACTGAAAATGGAACAGCAACATAGGGATGAAAGTCAACATCAGCAGCAGTGCTCCTGTGGAGAGTGGGTGCTCTTGACATGCTGGGAGAATGGTATTCACTCCGCGGCCTTCCTTCAAAATACCTCCACCCCTAATCTAATCAGGAGAGAAACATCACATGTCTGCACTGGGGACCTTCAATTACAGAGCCTCAAAATATCAAAGTCATTTAAAAAAGCCAAAAAATGTCTCAGCCAAGAGGAGCCTGAGAAGACACGATGAGTAAATATGAGGTGGCATCCCAGACCAACTCACTCGATAAAAACTAGAGACCCAAAGAAAGTATGGACTTTGGATAGCCATGTTTTGATATTGCTTTATTGGGTTGGAACCATTGCACTTCACTAATGCAATGTAACTAGAGGTGCTGAGTGCTCACATCTGTAATCCATGTGACTTGGGAGGCTGACATCAGAAGAATCATGGTTCAAGACCAACTTGGGCAAAAAAAGTTCATATAACTCCATCTCAAAGAAGCTGGACATGGTGGCATGAGCCTGCCATCCTAGCTGACAGGAAATGTAAAACCTATGGTCCAGGTGCGTGCCTAAGTAAAAAGCAAGACCCTGCTGCCAAAGAACAAGTGGGGGGGGGGGGCGTGGGGCTGCGCATGTATCTCAGGGTTGGAGCAGCTGCCCAGCAAGCCTGAGGCTCAGTACTGCCAAAAACCCACCATACAGTGGTTCTGCTTGCTTTTCTTTTCTTTTAACTTTACAATAGTGTGAAAGTGATCAGAATTCAGTAGAAATCATACTTTGAACTTTGATCTTTTCCTGGACTATCACTACTCATTCCAATACCCTGCTGTGATTCTGGGCAAAGAAGAGAGCTTCAACCTCCCCTCAGCTACCCAGTCAAGCCACCACTCTACAGCTCTGTGGAGTACTGCTAAGTCCTACTCTTTGGTAGGTTAAGGGTATTAATGGCATTCTCCACTTACAATATTTTCACCTTCAATAAATGCATTGGGACTTACAACCCCATCATAAGTTGAAGTGAATCTGCAGTATCTTTGCAATTATTTCATAAACCTAAAACTGTTGTAAAAATGAACTTTATTTTTTTCAAAAATAGTAGGGAAATCTCACTCTAATTTCTCTTGTATCTATGTAGATCTCATTTCCACCTACAGTCATTAGTAATGTTCCATGGATCCTTCCAGAATTTCATTACACAAATACATACTGATGTTCTCCCCAGGGGCCCTTTTATGTGCTTTGAAGAGTGTTTAATCATTTTAATATACAACACTTGAAATATAAAAGCAGAGAGGAAAGTGCAAGATCCCCATGGGCCTATCCTCCAGAGCCAACATTTCGAGATTCCCGCGGACACTCAGTTATTCCTGCCTGCCTCACTCTTTCCCTCTACTTGTTTCAAAGCACAGTTGAGATCCTCTCCTAGGGGATGCTAGGGGTGCATCTCTGAGCAAGCTGGACATGTTACATTACCCTAATGCCTGTGTCCTGCCCTTAACCTATTTCCTGCTGGGCCCCCAGCGACCGTCAGTGTGTGCTGGTGAGACACGGGGCTTTGGGGGTATGCACACGAGCACTTGCGAGCAATTCTGTATGTGCTCCAGGAAGACAGAGGCAGGAATGTGTGGAGGATGCTGGTGGCTAGGGCAGTGTGGTGGAGAGGGGGGCTGTGAATGCCCGGGCAGCCCACGGTGATGGGACGGCCGCTAGATGGGGACCCAAAGAAGGCAGAGGATGAGGAGGACCTTCCCCCGAGGAGCCCCTGGCCAGTCTGAACTGGACACTGTCCTGGAGTATGACACAGGAAAGCTAAGTGTCTCTGAAGCTGTCACCGTCGGTAGCCGCAGGTCCTTTACTCTCGTGGTCGGACGCTCGTGTGGGCCGACCTGCCCAGAGGACGCCTCTGCGGGCGCAGCAGGCTGCATCTGCCCCATCAGATGCTGACATTCATGTCAGCGCCAGAAGGCCCTTGGCGAGCGCAGAGCCCAGCCTTCTGTTTCGGGTGGAGCGCGAGGCTGAGGCCTAGGGAAGCAGTTCTCAGGAAGCCGCCAGGGTCATTCACTTCTCACCCTTCCTCGTGTCTGCAAACGCTGCTCCCAGAAGAGGCATCCCTGGCCACGTATGCCCTGGCCAGAGTGGCAAGTTGAAAAGTCCCAGGGACGTGTGGGTGCGAATCCTGGCTCGGCGCCCCGCAGGCCGCGCACATGGGAGCCCCCACATCGGGCGCGACTCCCCCTCCCCTCCCCTCAGACGGACCGGCACCGAGGCACGGCGGCGACCGGGCCGGCCTAGATCCGACCCCTCCAGCGAGCGTCGGGTGGTGCCCAACTGGAGGCCAGCCCACGCTCACAGCCCTCACCCGCGTGCCCGGCACGCGCGGGTGCGGCCCAAGCAGGGGCCTCCGCCCGCAGCCGCCGCGGCCGCCAGACGGACCGCGGGCCGCCCGGGGTGGACCCCGCAGCACCGGGCGCTCCCCGCGCGGCGCTCGGCGATGCGGGCCGCCGGGACGTGCCTGCCCGCGCTGCGGCCGCGGCTCCGGGTCTGCTCGGGCTCCCAGGCCGGGGGGCGCGGCGCGGCGGACGCGGGGCCTCCGCGGAGGGACCCGGGGCCCGGGGCTCGGAGCCCGCCCCGCGAGGCGGAGGCCGGCCCCCGGGGGGTGCTGGCACAGGTAGGCGCGAGGCCGCCGGGCGGGATGGGGGTCCGGCCCCGAGGGCGCCGCGCCGGCTCCCGGGATCACCTCGAGCAACGCGGAATCGGGTCTCCGGGACACGCGGGGCGCCCCCGCCCGGCCCTGGCCCGCGGCCTCCCCGGGGCGCCCGGCCTCCCCGGGCCAGGCAGGGGTCGGCGTGAAGATGCGCACCCCGCGCTCCCCGCTGAGCCCCGCGGCGGAGCCCTGGTCGGCCCTCCCATCTCGGGGGCTCGCGTCCTCCTTTCGTCCGAGGTGACCGAGGCCTCCCGCCGTTCCCACTCCCCGTGCGGGAGCGGCCTCGCCAGCCCAGCCTCCGCGCGGCGGCGGCGGCGGCGGCGGCGGCGGCGGGGGAGGGGCGGGGCCGGCGTCCGCAGCGCGCCCCTCCCCCGCCGCCGGGAGCGCGGACGCGCACCAGCGCGCTCGCACCTGGCCGCTCCGAGGGAAACCCCGCCTCCGTCCCCGCCCCCGCCGCGGAACAGCCAATCAGAGGCGGCGCAAGCCCGCGGGGGCGACGCGTGGGGCGGGGCCCGCGCTGCCTGCGGGGCTAGCCCGGCGGGCGGCGGGAGGCGGCCGGCTTCGGCGGAGGCGGCGGCGGCGGCCGGTCCGGGACGGCGACGCAGCACGCCGGCGGCGCGACAGGGACGGGCTAGAGTTCCGCAGCCCGCCGCAGCCGCCGCCTCGCCGGGGCCGGGCCGGAGGGCGCAGCGGCTGGCGAGCGGCCTGTGAGGCGGCCGGCGCGGCGGGCGTGGAGCCAGCGTCCTGTCAGGCGGCCGCGGGCGCCGCGGACCGCGCCACGATGATGCCGGTGGGTGCGGGCGGCGGCGGCGCGTCCTCGGCGGGCCGCGCCTCCTTCCCCGCGGCTCCCCGCCCCCGCGGGCCCGAGGCCGGGCGGCCGGGCGGGGAAGGAAATGGCCTGGCGGGCGGGCCGGGCCTCGCGGCCGCGGCGGGCAGGTGGGGGCGGTGCCGGGCTGTCAGTGCCGGCCGGGGCGGGACCCGGGCTGCGTGCGGGAGACGGGTGTCCGGGAGGCCGAGCCGGCGTGGGGAGCGCGGGCGGGGGCCGGGCCCGGGAGGTGGGGGGGGGGACGGCAGCCCCGGAGAGCGTCCGCCGGGCCCGGGAGGTGGGGGGGGGAGGGACGCGGGCCCCGGAGAGCGTCCGCCGGGCCCGGGAGGTGGGGGGGGGAGGGACGCGGGCCCCGGAGAGCGTCCGCCGGGCCCGGGAGGTGGGGGGGGAGGGACGCGGGCCCCGGAGAGCGTCCGCCGGGCCCGGGAGGTGGGGGGGGGGGACGGCAGCCCCGGAGCGTCCGCCGGGCCCGGGAGGTGGGGGGGGCGGACGGCAGCCCCGGAGCGTCCGCCGGGCCCGGGAGGTGGGGGGGGGGACGGCAGCCCCGGAGCGCCCGCCGGGCCCGGGGCGGGGGTGCCCCGCGGCGCGTCCGCGACCCTGCGTCGATTTTCCGGGGCGTCGTCGCGGCCGGCGGCCTGGCACCCCGTGTGGGGTTCCCACGCCTGCAGCCCCGCGTCTCCTGCCGGGCCTCGGCTTCCCTGCGTGCATGGATTTTGAGAGCCATCTTGGGAAGCCCCTTTTCCGAGTCCTACCCCGGCGGTGCATTTTGTTCCTAATGGTGCGTTGCCCCCCCTCAACCCGCCCCCCCCCCCCCCCCCCCCGCTTCCTGAAGGTTGATTGGGGTCGTCAGTGCTGTTGGCACTTTGTCCTGCCTCAGTGATGCTTCCGGCTAGGAAGAGACTGGCTATTGCCCCCCCCCCCCCCATCTTGTCCTTTACCTGTGATCCACATAGCAGTGGGAGCTCCGTTCTTATTCTTTGAATTTGCCTTTTGTGAAGGAAACATCGTGACACGAAAAAATGTGGGACTGTTGAATGGATTCATTTTCTGAGTGCCTTTTAAAGTAAAATTCTCATTTACAGTAAAGAAACAACCAACTGTCTTTTCCCTCCCTCCCTCCCTCCCTCCCTCCCTTCCTTCCTTTTTTCCCCTACAGCTCTTACATTGAAAGATCACATTTCAGAGGGAAAGTACTGTTTCTTTGCATTTACTGCTTGAGTAATGTTGTTCTGCTACGCTGCACCCAAGGACATTTAGATTTTGTACACCCCCCCACACAGATACCATTTTTCATGAAATTCCTTGTGTCTGGATAATCTCCTCACCCCATTTTGACCTGACTCCAACCCTGGCATTTCTGAGTTTTAAGATTTGACCTAGTTGATGCTCAGATCTTTTGTGGGCATTAGTCTTTTAGAGACTCTGAACTTGGTCTCAAAGAAAGATTGTCTTGCAATGGAGGGAGATCTGGAGTCAATGGTTCTGCTACTTTTTCGATAATATGACCTTGAACAAATCAAGATCCTTGAGCCTGGAATACCTCTAAAAATTGGGATAAAAAGGGGCTGGGAAGGTGGCTCAGTGGTAGAGTGCTTGCCTTGCATGCATGAGGCCCTGAGTTCCATTCCTCAGCACCACATAAGCAGAAAAAGCCGGAAGTGGCGCTGTGGCTCAAGTGGTAGAGCCCTAGCCTTGAGCTGAAGAGCTGAGGGACAGCGCCCAGGCCCAGACTGACCCCATGACTGACCAAAAAAAAAAAAAGTAGGAATAAAACAGATGCGTGAAGCTGGCCTGGAATAAATAGGATGATGTGTCCCAAACTGTCCAACTTGCATGCAAGTCTTTATTACTGCTAATGTGTCTTTGAATTTTCAGTTTCTGAGTTTAATCTCAACAAGATATTTGGAAACTGTTCCCTCCTTAATTTTCACTGCCTGGATCTTGGAAAAGGCATGTGGTACTTCGTTTGTTTTTATTTTTTGGCCGGTCATGGGACTTGAACTCTGGGCCTGGGCGCTGTCCCTCAGCTCTTCAGCTCAAGGCTAGCACTATACCATTTGAGCCACAGTGCTATTTTCAGTTTTCTGGTGGATAATTGGAGATAAGAGTCTCACTGACTTTCCTGACCAGGCTGGCTTTGAACTTCGATCCTCAGATCTCAGCTTCCTGAGTGGCTAGGATGACAGGCGTGAGCCACTGGCACCTGGTGGTACTTTGGAATTTTGAAAGCAGTTTTAGTTAGATCCTGTGGTAGAGATCAATGTGTTTGTGCTGTAGTAATGTTGAAGGATAGCTACCAAAATTTTGCCACGTTTTATCTTTACATGGTGTTTAATTACAAGTACCCAGCTAAGAAATGGCATACATCTTCCATGTGGCAATTCAGACATTTTTACTTCTAGTCTGCATGATTAGAAACGCCAGTCCACTGCAGTATGTTTCTTTCTCAAATTTATTTTTCTAGCGATTGAAGTTTTTGTTCTTAAATGTAGGTAAGAAACAGATGGTATATTTCTTAATGCCTCTTTTGTGGTTCTTATTTGTATTTCCTTTTCGATTCTTAAAAATACTGATTGAGCTCTTCCTCTATTAGCACAGTTGGAGATGGTTGTAAATTTAATATAAAATTTAAGAGCATGCTTCATAATTTTTTACTTGATATTAAACTATGCAAAGCTCATAAGATTTTTCTGGCTTTATTGTACTGATCATAATATTTATGATAATGGTGAATTATCATAATGGTGAATCATCAGAGGAACACTAGGTCATAGTTTTGTTTGTATAAAGCAGTACTGTCTGATAGAAATATAATACAAGCTTCAACTGTAATTTAAAATTGCATAGTTACACTAAAAAGTGCAATGTTCATCTTAATATCTTCATTAATGCACTATATCCACATTATAACTTTAACATTAATTGATACAAAAATCACTGGTTCTTTTTTTCTTGCTGGTTTGGGATTTGAACTCAGGGCTCTGAGCTTGCTCAGTGTGCTTGCTCAGCTATTGAGTGCCCTGCCACTTGAATCATGCCTCCTGTTTAGCATTTTGCTGATTAATTGGAGGTAGAATCTCTTGGACTTTTTTTCCTGGGCTAGCTTCACACTGTGATTGTCAGATCTCAGCCCTCAGGATTACAGGTATGAACCACTGGCTTTCTTTTGAAAGAGAGTGGACATTTGGAAGTTGGTAAAACTTTGTTAAGAGATGAAACATAACTGGGGAGTGGGGCTAAAAATAGTTTGTTTTTTTTTCCCTTTCCAAAAGGATGAGGACTTGAGACCAGGAAGTCCTGTATAGCTGATGTGTTTTATTTGTAAGGAAGGTGGTCTGGTGGTAGGATTCAGTACTGTTTACAATGGGACACCTTAACTTCCACTGATAGCATACAGTAAAACTCACTAGTTCCCCCCATTTCCATCCAGGAGTCTTTCAGCATATTCACTGCAGTGTATGGGTTGTGTTAATTTGTGATCAGTACTTTAATTTTATTATTATTAATTATTATTATTATTATTTTGTCAGTTGTGGGGCTTGAACTCGGCTTGGGCGCTGTCCCTGCGCTCTAAGGCAAGCACTCTACCACTTGAGCCACAGCACCACTTCCGGTTTCCTAGTGGTTTATTGGAGATAAGAGTCTCATGGACTTTCCTGCCCGGGCTGGCTTTGAACCGAGATTCTCAGATCTCAGCCTCCTGAGTAGCTAGGATTACAGGCATGAGCCACCAGCGCCCGGCTTAATTTTATTTTTTGTCAGTCATGGGGCCTGAACTCTGGGCCTGGGCACTGTCCCTCAGCTCTTTAGCTCAAGGCTAGCACTCTACCACTAGAGCCACAGAGCAACTTCTGGCTTTTTTCTGCTTATGTGGTGCTAAGGAATCCAACCCAGGGCCCCATGCATGCAAGGGAAGCACTCTACAACTGAGCCACCTTCCTAGCCCCAAGTACTTAAATTTTATTTTTTATTTTTATTTTTTGGGTCCAGTTGTGGGGCCTGAACTCTGGGCCTGGGCGCTGTCCCTCAGCTCTTCAGCTCAAGGCTAGCGCTCTACCACTTGAGCCACAGCGCCACTTCCAGCTTTTTTCTTTTTGCTTTTGTGGTGCTGAGGAATCGAACCCAGGGCCTCATGCATGCAAGGCAAGTGCTCTACCACTGAGCCACCTTCCCAGCCCCTACTTAAATTTTATTAAATATTTACTCTAGGTGTTTAAGTGAATGGTTTTTCTTCTGAACTATATACAAACTATATACAAAAATCAGAGCGTTTCCCTTTTTAAGACATCAGCTGTCATAGAGTTGACAAATAGTGAATAGAAAGTAGGGAAACCTGGACAGTAGCTTTCACTTATTAGTAACTGTGAACTTTGGACAGAATCTATTTGGGCCTTAGTTTCTCATCTGAAAAATGGATTTGGCGTTGGTTCTGGTGATTTCCACACATTTGTGGTTGGTGTGGTAGTTGATTAGCCGCAGATACTTTGAGGAGGGTTTCTAACATTCATATTGGCCACATCAAAGGTTGATGCAGTCTGACTGGTTTTAGAAGCCTTTTGGCAAACTTCTGCCCAAGAATCTTTGGAGATAGGACAGATAATATAGCTCAGTAAATGATTAATACTATTGCCAATTAATAATTCATTCATTTGATATGCTTGACTTTGTACTTCATTAGGTAAATAGAACACTGAAGACTGACAGTTTTTTAAATTCTAGTTTCTTTAAAAATTGCAGCTATAATATCAGTTAAGTAACCCATTTCTAGCCTTGGATTACTAAAAGATTTTATTTATTATTTATTTATTTGGTGCTGGTCATGAGGCTTGAACTCAGTGCCTGGGTGCTGTCCCTGAGCTTTTATGTACAAGGCTAGTTCTCTACTACTTGAACCATAGCTCTATTTCTACCAAATCCTGACTGGCTTGGCTTCTAGCCTTGGTCCTCGTATCTCAGCCTCCTGA